TAGAGAATAGAAAAACAATTGAAAGAGTTAACAAGACCAAAAGCTGGTTCTCTGAAAAGATCAACAAAATTGATAAACCACTGGCCAAACTGACAAAAGAAAAACAGGAGAGGAAGCAAATAACCCATATAAGAAATCAGATGGGTGTTACCACAACAGACCATAACATAGTACTATGAAAAATTGTACTCTAACAAATTTGAAAACCTAGAGAAAATGAACAAATTTCTAGAAACTGACTACCTACCTAAACTAACACAAACAGAGGTAGAACAACTAAATAAATCCATAGCAAAAGAAGAGATTGAAAAGGAAATTAAAAAAAAAAAAGCCCTGGCCTGGATGGCTTCACTGGAGAATTCTACCAAACTTCAGAGAAGAGTTAACACCACTACTACTAAAGGTATTTCAAGCATAGAAAAGGATGGAATACTCCCAAACTCATTCTGTGAAGTCAGCATAACCTGATACCAAAAGCAGTTAAAGATACCACAAAAAAAGAAAATTACAGACCAGTATCCCTCATGAACATTGATGCAAAAGTCCTCAACAAAATTTTAGCCAATAGAATTCAACAACATATCAAAAAAATAATTTCACCATGACCAAGTGGGATTTATACCAGGTATGCAGGGATGGTTCAACATTAGAAAAACAATCAATATAATCCATCACATAAATAAAACAGAAGATAAGAACCACATGATCTTATCAATTAATACAGAAAAAGCATTTGAAGAGTCCAACACCCATTTATGATAAAAACTCTCAACAAAATAGGAATAGAAAGGAAATTCCTTAATGTAATTAAGGGCATTTATATAAAGCCAACAGCAAACATCATCCTAAATGGAGAGACATTGAAAGCATTCTCCTTGAGAACCGGAACCAGACAAGGATGCCCTTTATCACCACTCTTATTCAAGATTGTGCTGGAGGTCCTAGCTGGAGCAATTAGGCTAGAAAAAGAAATAAAGGGCATCCAAATTGGTGGGGAAGAACTCACAGTATCTCTATTTGCAGATGATATGATCTTATACACAGAAAACCCCAAAGAATCCACAAGAAAACTACTGGAACTAATAGAAGATTTCAGCAAAGT